TCCACCTTTTGAACAATGAAATTGTCTTCGAGGAAAGTGAGGAATTTGATGTATAAGATATCATATCCTTGCAAAAAACATCTTGCTACCTTCTGTTGGCTACCACATCACTTACTCCAGTTGAGAATGCTGGGTGCTGCAGTCTGTTTACCACTAGAGGGCTGCAAAATTCCCACTCCTGCTTTGTAGAGTAGATGAAATTTAGAGTTCTTTATTTGAAAGTAAAGGAGAAAAGGACTAAATTTTATATGCTGATCAGGTAATTATGTACTAGATAATAAATATATATTAGATGCTAGAGTCCAAGGAGGTACAGTAAAAACTAACCATTCAAGATAACCTGGTCTTTGTGATTCTAAAGCAGCTCATTAAACAACGAATCTGTAAGCATTGAGAAAGGAATACCATAACCACAAAAATTCAACATGGGGTCTAAAGCCCACAGCAGAAATAATCCAGATTGAGACCTTTTTAACTGTCCTGAAACAGTACTAGGGAATTCTAGGAATTGTAGTTTATAGTGGCACTAGAACTCTGACAGAAAAGGGTATATATCTCACAAAACTACATTTCCCAGAATTCCCTAGCATTGAGCCATGGCAGTTAAAGCGGTCTGAAACTGATTATTTCTGATGTGGATTTTGGACCATGGGTTTCTCAAAAACAAGCTATACCAGACTAATATTATCTTTTTTTGGATAAAATTACCAGCTTGATAGATAAAGGGAATGCTGTGGATGTGAGGCCTTCTACAAGGTCCCCCAGAATATTCTTGCAAACAAGAAGGAGCCCTGGTGGCGCAGTGGTTAAATGCCTGCACTGCAGCCACTCACACAGACCACAAGGTTGCAAGTTCAATACTAGCCCAGGGCTTGACTCAGGCCTGCATCCTTCTGAGGTCACTAAAATGAGTACCCAATTGTTGGGGGGCAATGAGCTTACAGTTGTAAACCACTTAGACACTCCATAGCGTGGTATGAAGCGGTATACAAATGAAGCTGCTTTGCTGCTAATAAAATGTAGGTTAGACAATGCACTATTAGGTGGATTTGCAATTGGCTGACTGGCTGAACCCAAAGGGTGCTCAGCAATGGCTCCTCATCATCCTGGAGAGAAGTGACCAGTGGGGTGCCACAGGGTTCTGTCCTAGGTCATGTGCTATTCAACATCTTTATCCATGTCTTGGATGAAGGTATAGAGGGCATGCTTATCAAATTTGCAGATGACACCAAATTAGGAGGAATAGCTAATACCCCAGAGGAAAAGATTAAAATTAAAAATGACCTTAATAGATTAGAAAGCTAGACCAAAACTAGCAAAATGGATTTCAACATGGAGAAATGTAAGATACCACTCATAGAATCTTGTTGCATTCTTAAATAATGCAGTTTACCTGATCTGGTTTAAAATTTAAATAGGGTGGCATCCTGATATTATCAGAAGGATTTAGCTGCCAAAACCGCTGCCGAGGTCCGTCCCTACTACCAGGGCTGCTCCAGCAGCCATTTCTTAAGCCAGAAAACTCACAGCTTCAAAAAGAGCCACGCTGAGTGCCCCTGGGAGCAGGGATAGACCCAGGCTGGACCCAGGAGGTGATTTCAGTGGCTAAATCCTTCTGATAATATCAGGATGCCACCTGCTTTAAATTTTAAATTGGATCAGATAAGCTGTATAATTTAAGAATGTGATAAGCTTCATAGTTAGAAAAAAATGAAATGCATAGATATAGGATGGGGACACCTGGCTTGAAACAGTACATGTGAAAGGCATCTAGGAGTCCTAGTAGACCACAAGTTGAACATGAGGTCAAGAGTGTGGTACAGCAGCTAAAAAAGCCAATGCGATTCTAGATTGCATCAATAAAAGTATAGTGTCTAGACCAGGGGTAGACAACCTTTCCCCTTTAAGGGCCGAGGGAC